AGGCTCACCTGAGCCCAGCAGGTTGACGCTGGGGTGGCCATGAGCGTGCCACTGCACTCCAGCCTGGGAGACGGAGTGAGACTCCAACTCAAAAAAAAAAAATTTCATTAAAAAAAGACATTTTTCCTTGTCATGATCCCATACTGTTGTTATAGTAACAATACTGTATACCATTACATAGCATTTACATTATGCTAAATACTATAAGTAATCTAGAGATGACTTAAAGTAGGGGTCCCCCGGGGCTGCAGACTGGTACATGTCCATGGCCTGTTAGGAATCGGACCGCAAAGCAGTAGGTGAGCAGTGGTGAGCGAGAGAAGCTTCCTCTGTAATTACAGCCTCTCCCCATTGCTTGTATTACTGTCTGAACTCCGCCTCATGTCAGATCAGCAGGGGCATGAGATTCTCATAGGAGCGCGAACCGTATTGTGAACTGTGCAGAGGAGGGATCCAGGTTGCGTGTTTCTTATGAGAATCTAATGCCTGATGATCTGAGGTGTGGCTGAGGCAGTGATGCTAGTGCTGGGGAGTGGCTGAAAATACAGATTTAACATCAGCAGGGAGGTTGGACTGTACATCCCCTCTCTACCCTGTCTTCCACAGAACCAGTCCCTGAGACCAAAAAAGCTTGGAGATCAGATTTTAAGTATGTGCAAAGACTACACTATTTTATATAAAGGACTGAGCATCAGTGGATTCTGGCATCTACAGGGGGTCCTGGAACCAATCCTCACAGACACTGAGGGATGACCACATACATGTGTATGAGTGTGTGTACACATATTTCCTAGTTGTTTGCTAAGAGGGTTGTAAGAAATGACACCTCAGTAGTAATGAACATACCTCCTACCAGATCTTGGTGTCTTGTCTAACTGCCAAACTCTATAGACAGGAGCTGGGGGGGAGAGGGCCCCAGGGGTCTTTATTGCTGTAGGATGAGGGGGGCATGAGGGACACTGGAAGTGACCGGAAGCAGCTCCGACTGGCCAATTCTGGCACAATCTGAGCACTAACATAGAGACAGTAATTGATGAGACTGATGTAACACAATGGAATCCTGGAATCTTTATCGATATAGTGAACAAAAAAGCACACGGGAGAGGGAAGAGCTTATTTTGTACAGAGTGAAAACTAATCGTGGTAAGGGACTGATAAAAGTGGAAAATCCTTTGCGGCTACCATGACAAAACTAGTTAGGACAAAAACTACCAAGAAATGCTAACGCTGGTACTTAAAAGTTTGATGAGGACCAAGAATATGTATCATCTTAAAACATCTCCGTGCAAATTACTAATTTTTCAGTGGAGAAACTATCTTAATCAACTTTTCTTTTTTTGAGTTGGAGTCTCACTCTGTCGCCCAGACTGGAGTGCAGTGGCTGCTCCTGGCCACGGCAGCCTCGACCTTCTGGGCTCCGGCGATCCTTCTGCCTCAGTCTTCCAAGTAGCTGGAACGACAGGCGTGCGCTACCACGCCCGGCTGATTTTTTGATTTATTGTAGAGATGAGGTCTTGCCAAGTTGCCCAGGCAGGTCCCGAACCCGCGGGCTCAGGCAATCCACTCACCTCAGCCTCCCAAGGTGCAGGATTACAGGCTGAGCCACCAAGCCCAGCTAATCAAGTAAACTTAACACCACTCTAAGGAGAAAAGTTAACATCATGAGTCTCCCAACATGCTGCAGTGAAGACTACGGCACCACCTCTGTGGTACTCGTCAAAAATGCCTAAGTTGGCCACACGAGGTGACTCATGCCTGTAATCTTCACGCCTGTGAGACTGAGGCAGGATTGCTTGAGTCCAGGAGTTGGAAACCAGCCTGGACAACGCAACGAGATCTCGACTTTACAAAAAAATCCCAGAATTAGTTGGATGTGGTAACACATGCCTGTAGTCCCAACTACCCAGGAGGCTGAGGCAAAAGGATCACCTGAGCCCAGGAGGTCAAGGCTGCAGTGAGCCATGATCATGCAATTGCACTCCAGCCTGGGTGACAGCTAGACCCTGACTTTAAAGAAAGAAAAAAAGGGCACCGCCTTAAGGTTGCACTTAGTTCTTCCTGCACTCGGCTTCTCCTCGGTGGGAAAGCTCAGGCTGAACACTTGGCGGGTGCCGCCTCTAAAGAGAACAGTCACTACACTTATGGCAGGGATTTTGCACTTAGTAGTCCAGAAGCCCCTAGGCAGACTACAAACTATGGCAAAAGGTGTGGAGTCTCATTTGTACAGACTGGATTTGTCACAAATTTACCAGGTCAAGAATTCCAGATAAAGTATTTCAGTCTTCACCTGCAGATCATGAAAAATATGGTGGGGATGCACAGAACCCTCATAAACTGCATATTGTTACCAGAATAAAAGGCACAAAAAGACGTCCATATTGGGAAAAAGACATAATAAAGATGCTTGGATTACAAAAGGCACATACCCCTCAAGTTACAAGAATAGCCCTTCAGTGAACGCAAAACTGAAAGTGGTTAAACATTTGATAAGAATCAAACCCCTGAAGTTGCCACAAAGGACTTCCAACAGAAGAGGACATGTCTAACACATGCCTTAAGAGCACTGGGGAGTTGGTAGTGTGGTGGCATCTGAAACCTGTGGAGCAGAAAGCAATTAAATCCTAATGCCAGAACAGTTTCAAATTTAAAAGTACAGATCATTTTCTGTTAAAAAATGGTGACAAAGTGTTTTCATTAAAATATATGTTAAATACCAGTCCCTTTCACTGACTATACCTGCTGTGATTCTTCCTTACTATAGACTTGGGGGTTTCATTTAATTTAGTTTAATTCTCTCCCCTTTCCCTCTAATAGTTTGACTCCAAAATGGGAAAGAATGGCATTGTTTGAACATCTATGTTCAGGTCCACTGCTGCCTAGCAATTATCATTAACTGTTTTATAAAGATTCTTGTATTGAAGTTAACAAGTTCTGTGAGTGGCTCTTTGCATGAACACTGTGTTATCATGTTGAAGAAATGCAACTCACCAAAGCATGGTTCCTGCCCTTCAGAAGCTTACAGTCTGTTCTGCTAGAGAACAGAGATTCAGCCAGTTGTGAAACATTGGGCGCAGCTAGATTATCTCCTTTGCGATTTTGCATCTACATTCACATAATGTTGACATGGGTTCATTTTATCCCTAAATTTAATACTAAAAACAATATTTATTTTCTAACAATAAATCTAATTTGGCCTAATCTTTATTATTGCACTCTGCCTAGACAAAACATATTCAGTTGTGTGTAAATTTTTTCCTCAAGGAACAAGGTTATGACATCTTGAGATTTATTAAAAAACAGACTGTCATTTTGTTTTCAGCTTCAAAATTGTTCTCTGAATTCTACTGAACCTCTGTTAAAAGTTGAGGTTGCTATTTAAAAGGAAAAAAGGAGAGAGAAATCTCGGGAGCATTATCTTACTTCCCGTCTTTTATTTCAGATAACCTGGCGGGGTGGGGAAAAGTCAGAATTTTAGGGAAGGTTCAATATCTTCAAGGTCCAACTGAAGAGAGTGACAACGAACTTCTGCATTCTAGTTGCCCTTTATTTTCCCTTGTCTCTGGTGAAGTTTGGCTTGGTAACAGTGACATTGGCATGCTCATTGTTTGTGGTCCCAGTACTGTCCTATCATAGGTGTTGATATTTTTGAGCATTGCCTTAAAACAGAAGTGCCTCCAGAAATGAAATCAGATCCCATTAGTTAATAAGCTTAAAGGCAATTACAGTTTTCATTCAACAATTACTGAATTGTGTGTGTGTGAGGCCTCTCAGGGGTACAAAGCTGAAGAACACTAACTTCTAAAAGCCCAGTCTACTCGGAGAGAAACTTGTATGTAACAGCATAAGCTGTCCTTTCCTGCATGGGTTTGTACATAAAAGCAGCCCCTGCTAAGGAAAAAAAAACAAAAGTCATGGTGAAACACAAGACAAATGAGAACTGCAGAACATTGTACAGAGCAACTGACCCATAACCCTAAAACCGTCTCGATCACAAAAGACAGGCTAAGAACTGTTCCAAACTGGAGTGAACAGGACAGCCAAAGGCGGTGGGAATCGTTGACTGCAGAGGGCCTGGCCTTCCTGGGCCCACTGGCACTGGAGTGGGCTCGCCGGCTAGACAGCAACCTTATGTGTCTTCCTGTGTAGGCCTGTGCAGCAAGTGTCGAGAGGGCTTTTTGGTTTGGGGAAAGCTACACTGGGGCGTAAGGGGCAATGGACCATGTCTGCAGTTTACTGTCAAATGGCTCTGGAAAAAAGGAGTTATACAAGTGGGCAAAAATATGGAAAATGTTCCCTGGATAATACAGGTCAAGGGAAAGCAGGGGCTCTTCATACCATCAAGTTTCAAAGTATTTTGAAACAGAGACTTGAGAGACAAATAGCCAAGTGCAACGTGCGGTGCATGCACAGACCAATAAAAAACTACAAGGTTAGCAGGCAAATCGCAACCTTCCTCTGTTTGAGATTTTGCTGTTTTGGGCGTGAAGCTATCAAGGTCATTTTAAAAAAAGAATCTTGATCTTTGGATGAAATGTCATGGTATCTGACCGGGGTTCACCTAAAGTACTGTGGGGGAGGAGGAGTGAGAAGAGTGGGGGCAGCGACACAGCAGGACTGCTGCCAACACTGGCAGCAGCAGGACCCAAGGACCAGCCACCACTCTGCCGTGGGGGTCAGATCCGTGAAACATCCTCTTGATCAGCTATATCCCCAGCCCCAGAGCCAGCTAATGCATGTGACGGGCTGACGAGGGCAGCGGCCCTGCTGGTTAGAGGCACCCACGGTGCACAGCCAATGCCTGAGGGAGCGCATCCCGGGACTGAACACTTTCCCTCAGTTTCTCCAGCCAGCCTCAGGTCCTCCAGGCAGGAAAGCAGCAGACCCACAGGAAAGCACCTCCAGTGTTCCACCAGGAGCTGATGCACATCACTGCCACAGCCTTCACAGCACAACTGCTTTCTTTCCCCAGATGAAAGAGCATTTCCATTTAGCCAAAACAATGTTTGTTCTTAATAACTTTATTTAAATATCCCAAAGATCCCAAACTCCATTTAAAAATAAAACTCGCAAAGCACTCCATCCAATAAAAGCACATAAACTCCCGGTAGCTAGTATCACAATTCACGATACTGATCTTGCTCGGAGAAAGTTCATTTTCTCCTTTATCACAAAAGGCACAGACGTCACCTGAGGCCTCAGATGTTACCCACTGCATCTGGATGTCACACGGCTCGCGTGCAACTCAGCACAATCATTAAAGCTTGTAATACGGTTCCCCAAGACTTAGAGTTATAGATTCTTTCCATAAATAATAATTAAAAAAATAATGGACCTTTATAAGACCAACAGAGGCTTAACAAAACGGACCTGAACCATCGCAAGGGCAGTGTGATTTCTTGATGGAAGTACGACGTGAACAGCAAGAGTCTATTGCCAGCAACGGACACACAGGACCCAGCGCAGCCCAAGAAAAAAGGAAGATGAGCAACTTCTAGGATGCTATTTCTGTCAACTCTGCACGAAAGCAGCTCTGATCATTTGATGGCGGCCATCTGCTGGCCTGTAGTCTGTAGGACACACACAGACTTACGTATTCTTACGGATTTGGCTACAGACAGCAGCGCCGAGGCTGGGGGCCAGCTCGCCTGCACACAGGAGCTGTGTCCCTGGGTCTGCTCACCGGGGCGGGTCGCCCACCGGGTCACAGCCTGCTGCGTCCACGCTGGTGGCCTCTCCTGCCCCCTGCTCATCACTCTCTTGGTTGTCTGGCTGCCCGGTGCCATCCGTGGTGCTGTCTGTGACCTCACTAGCTGGAATGGCCCCTTCCTTCTTCTTTTCTCCAGACACCTCCACCCCCATCATCCTGAGATAATGAAGCCGCTCGTTCTTGGGCACAAAAGTCCGAATGGAGGCCTTGCCCCGCCATCCGCACATCACAATGGGACACTGAAGGGCATCCAGATTCCTGCATGTGAAATGGGCTCAGGTAAACACCCAACATTCTCCTGGCACATCTTGAGAGATATTAGTAGTCAACCTTTCAAAAACCCCCAAAGCACTGAGAGGACATGAGGCCCTAGGGTAAGTGTTCGCAAAGGAAGGCTGCCCCTTTCTCGCCTCCTGGATGACCAGCCTCAGGCCAGCCTTTCCTGGAAGTCCGTGAGGGAACGGACCCCAGGGCTGCAGCTCAGCTTTCCGCGCTGGAATTCCCACACTCCTCACGTTCAAGGCCCACCCACCGCATGCACACATCACAACGAAGCGTGCTTGTCTAATGATGACAAGGTGTATACATCTAACAACAAGGCATGGACACTTACGCAGAATCCGGCTCATACTTCAGCACGATGCTCCCCTTTGCTGGAAGAGAAATAGACCCACGTTGGCCAAGATTTCCAGGAAGGGGACACACACAACGAGCACATTTATGTTTCTAGTGTTGTGCTAAGTATTTTGTAGAAAAGGAACAACAAATAACCTACATTCTTGCCCTCGAAGATCAAGATGGAGAAAGAGGCCTTGGAATACATGCAGCCAAGTCCATGCAACACAACGAGGGCATGGAGGAGGACCAGGCAAACACCTCTTAGGGATTTCGGGGAAAGATCCCTGACCAGTCACCCAAAGCAGGAGGCTGCAGATTCACCACGGGTTAACTCTCAATATTCAAAATTAAATAAATTACAGAACCAACTCCCAGCAACAGCATGAAGGAACACATAAAAATTGCCGAAAATGACACTGCCATCATCGAAACATAGGACTAAAAGAAAAAATACAACAAGACAAAGAGTTCCCTTTTCCTTCAAAATGATCTCTTCCTTCAGTTGTGGCTCTTGCCTGTGGAGACAAGAGCAGGACACACTCCACACGGCACGTTTTGTGCTCGGTGGGATCACACGCATAAATAGAGACACAAGTAAGGGACATGATGATGGAACTGCAGAAATCCACTTGTGTAGTGCACATCATATTGAACCAGAAACATTTAACAGTGATCAAAAAACAAAGAAAAAGAAAATAAAAGAAAAGCAACATTCCAACAGCTTGGCAAAATTATTTTGATGCTGGGAGAACATCACTAGCGTGGTCTGAAGGGGAAGCGACGTAGCACATGGCGCCAGCCATTCGCCTCGGCTGCTGGAGAGCAGTGGGAGCCACTGGCAAGGGGCTGTTCCTCTGCTTTCCCACAGGGGGTTGAGACGCAAGAGCACCCAGCGACGCAGGGTAGTGGGTCAACATTTTGCAATGTCAACTAGATTTCTACAAAGCCCTCTGGAAGTGACCAGTCAACAGCAAGAGAGCCACAGTGATCGCTACACGGAGCAAGGAGCAGCAAGACACATGCTCCATCCTTAGGAGACAATTCGCCATACTTCCTCGCGGTCACACCACTCACCCAGGTCCTTTGCCTGACTGTAGGTCTCGCTGCTGAGTTTTCTAAAAAAGGGGTTCTCCTGGGTCAACAGTATTTTAACATCTTCCATCGACACAGTGATAATTCTTGAGTTAATGAATGGATACAAGGTGTATATTCCCTGTGGAAATGAAGAGAAAGATGACCATGATGCCACCCGTGGATGACAATGATCGCCCACTCCCAGGGGCTTTCTGCAGTGTCCAGCCCTCGCTGCAGCCCCTGCCTCTTGGGCCGGTGTGGAACTCGCCAGGAGGAAACCAGTGTCCTGGAAGAGTTCAACAACCTGAGACGGTTGAACAGTGGCAGATGCTAGCCGAGCCTGGAATCACTCAGACTGTGTGGCCTCTGGGAAAGCCCATCTGCCCCCTACTGCTTCACCTGGTCGTGCCTAGTGCAAGGCAACTCTATTTCCAAATTACCTCCTGCGCCAACCGGAAAGCACAATCAAACTCTTCGCCACTGTTATTGCGACACCAGACTTTTATCCCCGTGTTAATAACCTGTACGTGAAGAAATCAGTTGAAGCACACACACAGATAAACAAGATAACCGACAAAAACATTCCCTTCTACTGTAAAGAGGCAGGGCTGTAGGGAAGTAGCTGCCGCAGCGGAGAGGGAAGAGAAACAAGACCACGGAGAAGCCCCAACTCTGCCTGAGTTCTCAAGAGCCCATGGACACTCACCAATGGCCTGTTTCCACAACTTCTAGCCACAAATAATTACCACGGGAGAAAGTAAAACCGGAAAGCTTTGACAACACAAGAACACTCCAGTGGACACCCGCTGCCATCAAGGGTGAGGATGCTGCCCCTGGCAGCCCCCAGTAGACACCCAAGAGAGAGAGGCAAGAAAGGCAGATACTGTCCTAGCAACGTCACGAAAACTCCGTTGATGTCGTGGACCGCCTGCGCACACCAGGTGATGGGCCACATTAAACACATAGGCTATGGGGAAAACGCACTGGAGTAGTAAAGTAAGCAGAAAAGGGCACTAACAGCAGGCCCCTAAGGGGAATGTCGGACAGGAGCAGCACAAGGCCCTCCAGAGAGCTGCAGCTGGCCCAGGCCCTGGGTACATGCTCCCCCAGAGGACACAGGCCCAACTCAGGCCTCAGGGAGGGACCTTTGTCCACAGCTCAATGGGTAGGCAGTACCGGCACCACTCCTCACGTGGTACACCGTGGCAGGGGAGGTGGGGAGAGAGCTGCACATGCTGCACAGGCTTGTCCCGCCCCCCTGGGTGGCCGCTACCTTCATCCGCTCGCTGTTGTTTAGCAGCACGTTCCTCAGCTCCTTGGACACCATGTAGAGCTGCCTCTTCTTCCCTTCCGTGGTCCGAGTCAGCAAATTCATCTTTGGGAATGAAGGATCCAAGGCATAGAATTTTCTGTGCACCAAAGTGTTGTTCATACAAGTTCAATTAAAATCTGGCAGGCGGTCTCTGACCACCCACTCTTGTCCTACGGAACTCCACCCTAAAACTGCAGGAAGTTTAAGGGTATGGGCTCTGCTCCTGGTTTCTAGTCAACATCCACCTCCCCTGAAACCTCTGGCCACGTGCACCTGGTGTGCATCTTGACCCGGGACCCATGAAAACAAGCACAACCTCAATCCCTCAGCTGCCACTCCAGTGACAGTGACCTGAAGACATTACTTCTTGAGACTTAATTATTATTTGTTTTTGAGCTGAGGTCTCACTGTCACCGAGGCTGGAGTGCAGTGGCACAATTATAGCTCACCACAATCTCCACCTCCCAGGCTCAGGAGGATCCTTCCACCTTAGCCTCCTGAACAGCTGGGAATACAGGCACGCATTACCACACTTGGCTAATTTTTCCATTGTTTTGATAGACATGAGGTCGTGCAATGTTGCCCAGGCAGGTCTCGAACTCCTGGGCTCAAGCAGTTCTCCTGCTTTGGCCTCCCAAAGTGCTGGGATTGCAGGCATGAGCCGCCACACCCAGCTGAGACTTAATCCTTAATTGCCTGAGCCCGCGGGTTCGAGACCCGCCTGGGCAGCGAGACCTCATCTCTACAATAAATCAAAAAATCAGCCGGGCGTGGTAGCGCATGCCTGTAATTCCGGCTACTCGGAAGGCTGAGGCGGAAGGATCGCCGGAGCCCAGCAGGTCGAGGCGGCTGGGAGCGGCCAGTCTGGGTGACAGAGTGAGACTCCAACTCAAAAAAAAAAAAAAAAAAAAAAAAAAAGTTTTACAAATACATGCAAAGGAACAGTTATCCAAAAGACAACATAAGTTACCACTCTGGTAAATACATACTAAAATTTAATGAAAAAGAAACAATGTATCTGAGACTGTGACCCTAAGCACTGTTCCTATGCTGTCTCCATCTTCCCTGATCAGCACTCCCTGCCATATGCACAACCCTTCACTGCTTCAACAGAAAATGAATGAGGTGGCTTTGGCTACCGGACTCTCAACTCAGTCAAGTCATTTATGTTCATGATCACAACTGAATAATTCACATCTGGAGTCACAGTCCAGTTTTTTCATCTGTCATCTTTACAGACTCTTTCTGAATAAAGCTTACTTTCTTTTTCCTTAAATTGAAAGAATGAATAATCTCTAAAATTTCATTGTGCTCTAACTTGCAGTGAAAAGGTGTGGGGGGGGAGCCATACAGAGTTAAATGCAAAACAATGGTTAAATGTGACATGTGTGCATTTATTCCGCAAATGTCTTTAAATGAAGAATTAAAAGGTTGAATTCGTACTCAATAGGTGGAAACAGTGGGTCATCGTCAGGAATAAATACAAATGGATCTTCTTTAAATCCAAATAGCTTCATCTTCTTTGATGGAGGAGGACTAAAAAGGAAATTAGGAATAAGACAAATTCATCTGGGTAGGAACATGAAACACTGAAAGCACATCCTTCCTTTTCCCCAATGCTCACCCAGTTCTGCACATCCTGGGGTTTCGTACACGCACCCTGTGCAGGAAGCAGATGCTGCAGCCTTCCCACCTCCACAGATCCCGGGACTTACACGGCATGCACGGTAACACCACACACACTGTGTTCTCTGCCTCTCTCCTCTCCCCCGGCAATGTAGAAGTAGCTCTGGGGTCCCATTAAACCCATGAGAGCCGAGAAGACAGCAGAGCGTTAGCACCAAGACATAAGGCCTTTTCTTACCCACACACACCATCTTTCTTATTGCCGTTATTCTCTAAATTCTCAGCTGTGCGAATTATTTCTGTGTCGCCAGTTTCTGTGACCGATGGACTTTCCAGCCTGGAGGGGTCTGCAGGCTGCCCTTCTGTGGGATCTGCAGGGCTCAATTGTGCACTTTCTCTGGTCTCTGCAGATCTACCCTGCAGCTGTCATGGGGAACAAGTTCATTTATACACAAAGAGAAGCATTCTTTGTGCTGCTATCAAAAAACTTAAAAATACCTAGTTCACAAAATCAACCAGTTATATTTTTCTCTAGCATTGTATTTTCTTGGGTGTCATTTCAAATCTTGCTATTATAAATACAATTTCTTGTAAGCTGATTCCACTTCAACCCCCAGAGAGCATCAGCCTGTGTCTTAACAGAGGCCACAGGCTGGCCTTTCTATCTGAAGCACTTCCTGTGCACCTGCCCTCATAAGGCACAATTATGGACACAGAATGAGCCAAGCACGATTCCTAAAACATCAGGCAGGGCAAAAAGACAAGCATGTCAATAACAACATCAGGAAGGGAGGTGAGAGCTGTTCCTGGGTTTCTGGAACTGCTGTGGGAATTAGGAAAAAGAAAAGTGGGCCTCTGGGCACCGGGGACACCCACTGAGGGATGAGCCTCTGGAGGCAGATACTGAACTCGCTGGATTTGGCTTTCAGAATGAGCAAAAGATTTTATCTATACTAAGAATCTTTTAAAAATATGTGTCCTTCTAACAAGTCACCAGGTTGGAAAAAGTAATTCCCAGGCTCCGCGAGTCAGTTTACAAATTAGGATTCTTCAGCACAGGCAGGCTCTACCTTCCTACTGAGAGGAGGGGCTGGGAGCCTAAGCTCTTAACACTCCACAATGGCGCCTCCCAGAGAGTCACCTTAATTCAATACAAAAAAAAGACAAACCCCAAGTTCTGAATGTCAGTGATGGCATACATCCTTCTCCACTTCTTGAAATGCAAGTCTGGCTCTGACAGATTGTTCTCCACCTCTCCTTCTCTACTCCCACCCCAAAGACCTAATTCTGCCTTTCTTGCAATGCCCAGGGCATGGTGTCAGTGTGGCTTCCTGGTCTGACTCCTGGCTGTGTTTATGTGCCTCATCAGCTCATTTAGATTACGGCATCCTGACAACGGACATTACTTGAATCACCAGCAGGGTCCCCTAAGTTGCTGAGTAGGGCACCCAAAGAATGAGCGATGTTAGCACAAAGTGTGTTGAAGTAAATGAATAAGGAACTGTTGTAATAACGAAAAGAGAGCATTAAGATTTAAATGAGCAGATGACACCAAGTTGCTCTACAAAGACAACACATCAGAGGAAAACTGAAGGAAGAATCAAAACCCATTGACATAGGCAGTAACATGCTGAAAACATCAACATAGCCCCAATGCAAGTAACCTTAAAGTACACCCATCCAAGACATGTCCTTCAGTGCTGGGCAGCCGCAAGCCACATGCGGCCACTGACCACTTAAAATGTGACAAGTGCAAAAGTCTAAAACAAGTTTCTGGTAAAATTTAGTAGGAAAGAATACACAGTATCTCAATACTTCACAACGAAATGTCTTATACTGATTACACAGAAAAACATTTCCACAGAGTTAAGACACCTCCTTAAACTTTCAGCTTCCAAGTGCCAGGCATTCTAACCTCGTAGAAAACTCTGGTGCCAGCTCCAGAAGTAGTTTCAGCCTTCCCCAGCCTGAGGCTGCACATTCAAATGTTAATCTAAACTAGCTGTGCCCAGAAAATGGCTGGAGCTCTTTGAGGAACTGTTTACTTTCTGTTTTTCCACAGGATAAGCATTATTTGTCCTCATTCTCAAGCCTAGATCTTAAAGAAATAATGATTTCTGACTGACTCTAGGTCACATTCTATAATCATGGAAAGCTGATTTATGAATTAATAACATCACGCCACACTGACACAGACACAACAGCGCGCGCTGAATTGGATGAGGGAGCACACTCCTCTGCTTCCAGGTCTGCCTCGGGGAACCAGCAGGCAGTTGATTCATCACGGCCAGGCCAGGCCAGGCCTTCTCAGCCAGGCCACGTCTTCTCAGCAAGGCCTGGCATGAGGGCAACAGAGTTCTACGGATCCGCCTGCGCTTGGCTGAAAGGAAGCAGCTGAGAACGCTTGAGCACAGAGCCTGGAGCTTCCCATTCAGAGCCACAGAGCAAGTTTTATGTCTTTTCAATCTTTATTAAATTTCTGGGTTTAAGATACAGCAGGAATGCATTCCCCAAACACCTTTCCACTTATCTGCCTCCTATGAGAAATTTCTGCTTTTTGGAAAACTTAAAATTTACATGAATTCCCTTCGTTCAGGCTTGGCACCAACCCCTTCAAAACTTCCCCTTCCTCTGCACTTCTGCTAAATTCCTGCCTGTGTTTGTCTCAAACGCACAAGATCAAATGTTATGTCATTCTGGAAAAACGAAAACTTACCTTTGGTTGGCGTTTATTCCATGGCATTGAAGACTTTTTCACCAATACTGCCACAAAGAACCCTCCAGTGTTTTGATGATGCGGTAATATCCTAAGACTGAAGTATATAAATATGGTTATATTTCTCAACTGATCAAAAATGCCTTCTTTTAGTATTCAAAGATGAAAGGAGAGAAAAGTCACGTTTTATTTTAAGTACTTGGGCAACCCTCACTTGCAGAACAGCCAATATGTCATCTTCAATGTTCACGAAGAATCCCAAGTATTGCCATTCAGCCAGTTCCACGACTCATAGAAGCCAATGCCAGCAACCAGCAGACACCGAGAGGCGTGCTGGCTGAAGAACTCCCGTATAGGGGTCAGTCCCAGCCTCAAAGCAATGGCGCCTGCTGCCTCTAAGTCCCCCGACAAAGCCAATCAGCTCGTCAGAGACTCGACCTTCCTTCTTCCTCCGGAGAAGCCCACTGCCTTACCAGCGCTCCAGATGCATGGCCTGTAGCTTTTCTGGGTCCTTTGGAGGGAACATGGTGGGCCGAATTTGGGTATGCCTGCTGTGAGGAACCGCATCCCAATCTGTAAACCACTGTCCATCTTTCGCCATCACCTGTGAAACGAGAGGGCCCACTTGTAGATTAACAGCATTATCTGGCAACAAGAAAATCACAGGGTAGGCCGGGCGCGGTGGCTCAGCCTATAATTCCAGAGCTTTGGGAGGCCGAGGCGAGTGGATTGCCTGAACCTGTGGGTTCGAGATCTGCCTGGGGAACTTGGCGAGACCTCATCTCTACAATAAATCAAAAAATTAGCTGGGCGTGGTAGTACGCACCTGTTGTTCTGGTTACTTGATAGGCTGAGGTGGAAGGATCACCAGAGCCCAGCAGGTCGAGGTTGCGGTGGCCAGTAGCATGCCACTGCACTCTAGTCTGGGCAATGGAGTGAGACTCCAACTCAAAAAAAAAAATAAATCACAGGGTATAGCATAAATGCTCTCGAACATGACAAGTGGCAAGTTTCACTCTCCTAAGACAGGAAGATTAATTGCCAAGATAAAAACAAAATAATCATTACAGAAGATCCCCAAATTACATAAAATCTGTTTAAAACAAAGATAAAATACTTTCATTCTAAAACCCAGGACAAACATTATAAAATAATGTTTTCCATGTAGCTTCAAACAAAAACAAACAAGCTTCAGATTGCTCCTGGCCTAAAACTGTAGTGTATTGTTTTCACATTAGAAATGAAACTTCAATCCTAGCCCATTAAAAAAAAGGCAAAGCTACCCTTATTCTGTACATAGAATAAAGCATGCTTTTCCACCGCCAGGGAAAAACATTTATATAATCATACTATCTATAATCAAATATAATTTTGAGATTGATTCTAATGCATAACCAGATGTAGTGTTGACTCAAGGATCCAAATGTGAATGCTTTAAAGCTTCCACGATGCTCCATCTGTCAAGCTGTGCCTACTCTTCTGAACTCAAGTCCTTGCGGAAGAATTACCTTCCACTGCAAGATTCCAGGCATCCATTTCAGTCCCGGCAACTCAGAAGACACATCAGCAAGTTCCAAAGCACCTATGTAGCAAAAATATGCATGCACGTATATGAATATAGACATATCCATATATGTATGTGTGTGTGTATATATATAGATATATATATACACACATATACACACATATTGTAGAAGGTAAGGCACAGTGTGCCCAGTGGAAAAAAGACATAAAAGATCACATATTGTATGATTCCGTTCCCAGAAAATGTTCAAAAAGCAGATGCGTGGCTGCCTGGGGCTGTGGGGAGACAGGGGTGAGTGTTGATGGGCACAAGGAATCTTCTAGGGGTGACTGAAATAGTCTAAAACTGGACTCTAGGAAGGGGCATTTAACCGGGTAAATTCACTAAAAATCATTAAGCCGCACACTTAAAACAAGTGACTGTTACAATGTGCAAATGTCACGGTATCAGACGTGTGAACAGCAAGCATCTCAAATGTAAGGGAGGCCTGGCCAGGTGACTGGCGGTGGTCAGCGAGTCCTGCCAGCGAAGGAACCACCAGCCAGAATGAGCACAGACTCCGGGACAAGAGCCGTTTCTCTCCGAAGTAACTAGGAGACCTGGCTTTTGGTCCAGCCACAAGCTTAACACAGAAAAAGGACTACAAATAATTACATGGAACACTTAATTAGGCTACAGAACCTCTGCGGAGAGTATCAAGTGCTTAAAGAATCTAGAAAACCTTTAGGCTAAGCAGCACAAGATGGGGCCAGGACCACTCACTCCAAGTTAAGACAAGTGCTCACCAGGAAACCCTGGGAAGTCACTTTTAATGAAGACAAAGGTGCCAGCAAAGAATGCAGTTGGAGAACCCACACACACTCGAACTAGCCCTCAGGTCTGAGTACTAATCGGGAATGCAAATAGTCAATGCACAATTTTTGTTGTCTCTCAGAGATCTGAGACCAAATTGAGGCAAAATATGGATGAGGTGACTGTGCCATATAAACTACTTAGAATCATTTTTTAAAAATTCCTAGCTAATGCAGACGTACAATGAGTAAGATGCAACAGCCCTAACCACTGACCCCAAATTACATTTGGAGGTATGATTTTACTATGGCTAAACTATTAAATTATGGCCCCGCACTCCTCCTCATCACACACCCTATCACCACAACCATGCAAAAGACACCACTTAGAATCACACCTTTACATAAGTCTACGTAAGTACAGGAAGACAAACACAGTGCTACATTTCAGGCTAAAGGACTCCAAAAACATCAACAACCTGAGTGCTGCAGCACAGCCCGGAGCAGCCAGCCACGGAAGGACCTCAACTGAGAGGAGGCAGGCATCAGACTCCACCTCAGCAAATGCAAGAGCATCTCACTCGTCCTGTTGCAACTTACTGTACACACAAGGAAGCCCAACTTGGTAGTGCTCTATTCAAAACATGGTGAGTTTGAAATTTCTCACTATGTGCTTTACAGAGAATATGATGGGAAAAGTCAATCTGTAAAACATACAAGGAGAAATATTGAATGGAAGCTGCTATTTCAGAACTTTTTATACCATCTGTCTGGCCCCTCAGTATAAAACAGTGATAAGACCTCACTTAACAACGAGATTCCAGGCACCCACTTCAGTCCTGGCAATTTAGAAGACACATCAGCAAATTCCAAAGCACCTATGTAGCAAAAATATGCATGGATGGCTACCAACAACAAAAAGTCCCCAGAAAACAACAGGTGTTGGTAAAGATGTACAGAAATCAGAACACTTATGCATTGGGGTAGGGATGTAAAAACATGCAGCCACTCTAACAGTACAGAGGGGGGCCTCAAACTTTTTATACCATCTGTCTGGCAGAACTTTCACATGACCCAGCAGCTCCATTTCTGAGTATATATCCAGGAAAGTTGTAACTGGGACCTCAAGACATCTGGGCACCATGTTCACAGCAGCATTACCCACAACAGCCAAAAAGCAGAAGAAACCCAAGTGTCCATCGAAAGATGAACGAACAAAATGTGGGTTATACACACAACAGAGTATTATTCTTCATCCCATTAAAAAGGAAGGAAATTCTAACACATGCTACATTGCAGATGAACCCTGAGGACACTGTACTAACCCAAAGAAGCAGCCACACAAGACAAAAATACTGTGATGCGACTTACTCACATGTGAGGTACCTGGAGCAGCCAAAATCACTGAGACAGAAACAGAACGGCAGATGCTGGGTGAGGGGCACAAGGGGAATGACTGACTGCTTAATGGGCTCAGTGTTTCAGTTTTGCAAGATGAAGAGCCCTGGAGATGGATGGCGTTGATGGCTGAACAATGTGAGCACACCTACACTATGGAACTGCAGACCTCAAAATGATTAAGATAATAAACTGTATGTTATTTTTATTTTGCTATAATTAAAATTTTTCTAAAAACCCAGAGTGTTAAGGATCCGTCACAATCTTTATGACTCAGAAAAACAAAAATGGGCAAAGCTCCTTTTGTTTTCAAACTTCTAAATTCTAAATAATTCACAAAATATGACAAATCTACATATTAGTATAAGCATGTTTTTAACTAGGACATCTCATTTTAGGGATTAATCTATAACTATGGCTATAGGTTAATCACATAAGCAAATGCCCCAAAAGCATCTACAAGAACACACACCGTAGTGAAAATCAACCATTCTGAGAAGCATACACTTTCATCAAAAGGTGCGCCACATGTACATACCTTCACTTTTTTCCAGTAAAGACGCTATGACCGCTTCGTCCTCAATGGGGTTTAGTGAACACGTGGAGTACACCATCCTCCCACCTTCTGCCAGCTGCTCCGCACCCCGTGTTGCAATCCGCAGCTGTAAACTAAGAGTTGAGACGATGTCACTAGAAAGCACACACATTAGAAGCACCTATCAATATGGCACATTTTTTTTTTTTTTGAGTTGGAGTCTCACTCTGTCACTCAGACTGGAGTGCAGTGGCCGCTTCTGGCCACCACAGCCTCTACCTGCTGGGCTCCGGCGATCCTTCCACCTCAGCCTTCCAAGTAGCTGGAAATACAAGCGTGCGCTACCACAACCGGTTAAATTTTGATTTATTGTAGAGATGAGGTCTCGCCAAGTTGCCCAGGCAGGTCTCAAACCCGCGGGCTCAGGCAATCCACTCACCTCGGCCTCCCAAAGTGCTGGGATTACAGGCTGAGCCACTGAGCCCAGCCGGCACATGTTTATTGTACCTTTTTATGACACTCACACACACACATATATATACATATATATATAAATCATTTTAGGGTAGTAAGAAGAGTTAAACTTACATGTTTTGTGTTAACACAAAAAGCATCCATTCTGTATTTTTGCTGTTCTGCTAACTTTTCCCAATATGTCAACAAGCAACATACACAGTTGAGTAACAACAAAATCCAACATTTTAGATAAATTTCACTACTAAAAAGCCTCCATACTTCATAAACATGAGATTTTTCTAGGAAAAGTTTGTATCCCATCATATATCTAATCCTAATTCTTCTATTTCACAAAACCGGTTAACTTTTACAGAGAAACCTCCTGCTGGAGCTATGTGTGGTGGGTATTCATCAGTATTTCAGCTCACAAACAGTCCTGCCACAAGAACGTGCAAGTTTTCAGGTTAAATGAAAAGAAAACAAAGCTTTATAGACAGCACAATCACAACTATTTGAAGCAAGTATTCTTAAAACTCCTCCACAGAAAAACACTAGAAATACCAAACATCAACAGAAGTTATCATCATGTTATAAGATTCTTTTCTTAAGAATCCCCCAAATTTTCTTTAACAAGCATTTCTTCTTTTATAAAAAAGCCAACCAAGAAATACCTCTAGAGATCAAAATGTTAAACAAGAGTAACAAAGATAATGGAGAGGAAAAATTCATAAGACATTAAAAAGTGAACGGCCATTCCATGAAAAAATACATGTTTAAAATGTTACAAGAAATTTTTATAAAAGGCATTTCCAATAAATGTTATCCAAAATGCATACAATTTGCAGTGACTACTCTTGAAAGGTTATAAAAATTTTTTTTGAGTCAGAGTCTCACTCTGTCACCTAGGCTTGAGTGCAGTGGCACAGTAACAGCTACCACAGCCACAACCTGCTGGGCTCAGGCGGTCCTTCCACCTCAGCCTTCCAAGTAGCTGGAACTATAGGTGCACACTACCACATCTGGCTAATTTTATTGCCAAATTGCCCAGGCTAGTCTCGAACCCCTGGGCTCACGCAATCCTCTTGCCTCTGCCTCCCAAAGTGCTGGGAATACAGGTGTGAGCCACCATGCCCAGCAAAAGGTTTTGAAAACTTCTGATAAACTCCTGAAGGTGGCCATTAACCATTCTCTGATATTTATAGCACTGCAAGTAATAATCTGGATGATCAGTTCCACAATTTAACAGAAAGGCTTTTCTAAATCTTTACTTGTAACACAGTGGTTATCGGTTATACAGTTTCACTTACCCATGTAGCTGTAAGCTATTTAAGGTGCTCCACTTTTTCCAGACATCAATGTTTTTTCTCATCGTGCCATCTCCACTGAAAGATATTAAGAACATAAAGCTCTGTACAGGGGGATGATTACAGTGTAACAGATACGACATACTCCAGGCTAAGTTATCAAATAGGTATTATGAATATCAATTAGAAAATCTATATCTGCACAAACGTCAATCAACTTTGTATTTCTATTTTAGGGACACTAGTTTATTCTTTGAAATTATACTTCAAGTTCTCATCAGAAAGAAAAGAATAGATTTGAACAGAAACTTTATTCAACACCAAATTTGCTTCCATTTGGGAAAAATACCAGCAAAACTAATTTGCAAACCTTGGATACAGGACCTGAATACTGCTATTGAGAAACAATCAACAATGACATTTTAACCAAAATTATATGGATAAACTTACACTCATAAGGAATTTTCCATAGCAAATTCAATTAAGCTAATTTAATTCCTTTACCAAAATTTTCCTATAATCACACACATTTCTGACTTTCTACTTCATTTAACAGGAGTTATTTCCATGTTTTTACTAATGGAAACTATTTCCATGTACAATTTATAATAAAGACTGGCTATGTTAATCTTCTGTCTGTGTCCAAGTTTATCAACCCTATTTTTTCAGGGATAACCCCTGCCTTTGATGGCTTTCTCTATCAAGTTTATCTTTTTAATTGGTGGCCCCTCTAGTCACAGGCGCTTGAGGTCTGAGGTCTGCAGAATGGAAATGTCCTGTGATATATGAGTTCTACTTCCTGACACGGTCCCTGGCTGTAGGCCAGCGGCCTGCACTGTGGAAACTCGACCATAACTTCAGACTTTCCTCAGGTGGCAGCCTAGTGCTCATAAGGTCACTTCGTTCTCAGAACACGGCACAAGAAACAAGTTACCTTTCTGATCAAAACAACACAGGGGTGGGAAAACATGGGACCCCGCCGGGGAAGATTAGAAAACTGCAACCTAGGAAAAAAAACTGAGCTCATTAACTACTATTTTAAACTTTAATTTCAAGGAGAGTTTCTCAGGCATTTTAATACTCAGCCATATCAGTGCTCCCAGCTGCAATTTTCAAAATGAGCTCTGCCACAAGCAGTAATCTGCCACTCAGTTAAACAAGATGAATCCTTCCATAATGAGGCATTATATTTAAACCTCATGTGTAGTGTTAACAAGTTTTATAATGTGTTTGAACTCTGTCTTGACACCTTTATGCCGTTCAGAAGGTATCATCACCTGGGGTTATTGTCCTACACAATAACACAAAAAACCTCAGTTATTCAGTTTTAAAATCTAAATATCTAAAATTCATATGTAAAATCTGAAGAAAGGTATAAAAATACACGCAAGATGAGTTTTCTCAAGGGCTTGAACTCTGACACTTCTTTTATTGTACCAATTAACAACAAATTCAATGTCTATGCATTATTAGTCTACAAAAACATATCCTATACTCACTGGAAGAACAAAGAGAAACAGTCGGACAAATGCACTGTTCCAGCAGTAAGATCCTGAAGCACCCAAGGAAGGGGTAGGCATCTATTTTCCTCGCAAGCATTCTCTTTCATCCCTTTCTGTAGCTCTGTGTCCAGTGTCTGCTGGGCTATTTTGCCACTAAGATATTGAGTGTCCTTCTCTGGTTTAGGCTCCCAATCACCTTTCTACACACGCGTGGCCTCGAAACTCACATGCACAACTGTGTGTGTGTTGGTGCACAGCTTCATTTTAGTCTCTATTTGATTCAACTTCTTTAGTGGATATGGGGCTTTCTGGACTCTTAATAAGGTTAAGTACCTGCAAGGGACATCACACAGAATTCGATCATAGAAGAGAACCTCTTTCCTTCCGCCCACGTCAATCTGGAGTCTGGGTATGCTGGATGCGTCGTGGTTCACCACCATGATGCAGGGACTGCTCAGCCTCTTGGCCTGATGAACCAGCAGATAGCAGCGCTTGTTATCCACATCATTAGCGATCACAAAGCCCTCTGGGAACATCAAAGTATAGTGTCAGGTGAAATGCAGCATAAGTAAGCGGGACCACTTCCTGAAATATGTATCCTCTAAGTCAGCAGGTGAGAAACAGCAGTACACCAAACTTAAGACCCAAGGTCAAGATTTCCTGGAAATCTGTTAAGTGGTTCAAAAACGGGAACCAGGCAGCTTTGCCTGGATTTAATGAACACTCGAAATTTCAAAACCTCAAAATTTATCTATTCAACAATTATTCACTTTGTGCCAAAATGATCTTTGCTATTACCAACTATTAATTATAAAGGAGGGTGAGAAGAGAAAGGTGTAGCAAACAGAATCACCTGACAAGTGTTTTAAAATAACACACATTGGCCAGGACTCCGCTCTGCCTATGAATCAGACTCTTGCATGTGTACAAGGTATTTCGAGACTGCGGGGCCTGGGTTGAGCACTGCTGCTGGAGCTGGCTGCGTGTGCCTCTGCATATTTCTGGTCCCTCTTGCACACTCAGCAAAAAAGGCAAATATGCCTACAGCATTTATGATCAAAGTCACTCTTCAAAACAATATGAACTGCAAGGCACCAATAATACAGAGGAAAAATCGCTCCTGCTGGGACACCAAGGCTCTCAACTTGGAGAAAATAATTAAAAATTGGGAAGAATAAAGGCTTCTTAGCCAAGACATTATCTTTGAATAATATAAAAATGCAGACTTCTTAAAAATCTAGTGTGCCCATTAAAACAGAACTAGAGCAGTTAACTTGAACAAAGGATGAAATAAAAATTGACTCTAAAACACTAGGGACAGTATTTTGTTTCTGCTTCTTAAAAGAACCCCTATAAAGGGTGTGAGTGTTACTATAATAATAGCTGCCATTTTCTCAGCATATTCCTGTCTTATAATATTCCCAAAAGCTAAATACCAATATTCGATTTCCTATGCGATGCCCAAAACTGTCATATAACTTGCTATTAAATGGTGGTGGGATTTGAACCCAGGGAGACTGGCAGCCGCTCACAACGACATGCTACTGCCTCTCACATAAGGAAGTTAAAAAAAAAGGAGGGAAGTGGAGGGAGAGGGGAAGAACTGTTACTACTAAGAATTCAAACTGTAAAATCTATCTTCTATGAGTAGGTTTGATAAAGAAACACCATTTGCTTTTATAGAAAACACACATAATTCTAAAACAAAGGGCCTCTCAAAGTATGAATATGTTGGTTTGAGAATCAATGACAACAAGCAAAACTGTTCAGTCACTTTGGTAGATGGCAAGCCCACCTGCTTGTCACAGGAGACTCCAGGCCCAGACTAACAAGCCATGCATCCTCTCCTTGCCTACAATCCATCAAAGCAGCTTTCCTACCCTTGTAGAAACAAGCCCAATGCATACCTGGAAAGGAGACATTCATGTCAGCATGGAGCATTTCAATTAACTGTGTGGTCTTGGAGCCAGGTGCTGCACACATATCTAAAATCTAATAACAAAGCAAGAACATGTTTGATGTTTTTAAAAAACCAAATATTCTACATTTAACTTTAAACAACTTTATGAATCATTCTAGTCTTCTAATTTCTATTCCTAGGCCTAAATTCATTTCTTTACAGAATGAATCTGTAGCTGTAGCACGACCACTTTACTTTTAGGGATTCCATAATATATACGGCGCCCAAAATGACAGAACAATAAGGCGATGGGAACGGAATGGCACCAGAAACCAGTGAGAGCAATATATTTAGAGATGAATGAGAAAGAGCTGTGAGGACATAATGCCAAAGGACAGAGCCTTGTGGACTCAAATCTCGCCCAGTCAGTCAATAGCTCTGTAACAGGGCCAGTTACTGCTCTCCTCTTTGCTTCCTTCTCCTCACCTGGAAAAATGGAGACAGTAACCATGTCTACCCCCAGAACAGTGGCCCCCAACCTTTTTTGACATCAGGGACTGGTTTCATGGAAGATAATTTTTCCATGAACCGGGGGCATGGGAGGGAAATGGGGGGATGGTTTCAGGATGATTCAAACACATTACGTTTATTGTGCACTTTATTTCTATTATTGCAATATGTATGACATGAGTCTGCAAGCAACTGATTTATTATAGTCTCTGTGCAGTCAACCCTCACTGCTAATGTTAGTCTGTATTTGCAGCCGCTCCCCAGCGCTAGTGTCACCTCCTCAGCCAAACCTCAGATTATCAGGCATTAGATTCTCATAAGGAGCATGCAGCCTAGATTCCTTGCACGTGCAGTTCACAATAGGGATTGTGCTCCCATGAGAATCTAATGCCGCCACCAATCTAACAGAAGGCAGAACTCAGGTAGTCATGTGAGCGATGGGGAGTGGCTGTAAATGCAGATGAAGTTTTGCTGCTCTCCTGCCACCCACCTCCTGCTGTGTGGCCTGGTTCCAAACAGGCCCCAGATCAGTACTGGTTCCTGGACTGGAGGTTGGGGACCCCTGCCCTAGAGGGTTGTGTGAATGATTCACGACAGAGCACAGAACAACGCCTGGCATACAGCGAGCTCTGAGTTCATGTTCACTATAACTGTCAATTTTGATTAGTCAATCAAGATGAACCAAGGATAATACGTATAGTAAATAAATTAACATAATTTGAAAGGAGAGAAAATAGTCATTTACACCCTCAAAATTAAGTAGAACAAGCAAAAAAGAAACTAAAATATGTTATGATTTTCTATCCAGCGAAAAGAAAAAAGGGACTAATTATGTTAAGAAAACAGGGTTTCAAGAGAAGAGCAGGACGCCTAGGTTCCTCGCCCACGGTCACTACCTTGTGATGTGGCTGGACGCTGAGCAGCAGCGGGGGGATCATGCTAACAGCCTCCTGACGACTGATATTTCCCTTGGGAAAAAAAAAAATCAGCAACATTTTAAAAAAAGGCAAAGAATGTCAACACTGGGCATTATTCAGAGGGAGCAGAAAAAGACCATATACTCTGACATAGAACAAAAGAATCTGTAGTCTCACAGAGAACATTAAATGGGGGGTGTTTAATACTAGTGAATGAGTGGCTGTTCTCCAAAGGCTGACCTGGCATGGCCACTGACACCAGAACTCACCATGAGAGTCTCAGGGAAGCGGGCACAACCCTGACTTAAATGAGAGGGAAGTCTAGCTTGCAGAGTCCCACTGCCCATCTGAAGACAGCACAGAGGCTGGGGAGCATCCCAAGGCAGACACACCATTCAGACACCTTCGGCAGCAGGGGCACCATTTAGCACAGGACACAAAGTTCCTGCCACGGGGTTTTCCTTCTTAACTAAAATTCTATCTTCTATTTCTCAGGCCTCCTCTGTCTTCAGAAACAGCCCATGTCCAGTCTATGTTCCTCACAACTGCGTTTCAAAGGGACAGAGACACCAACCACTGCTATCTTCCCATCTTCAGATCATCAACACCTAACGTTCCTCACCATGCTAACTGTCCTCCACCTCTTCCCCAGTGGGTCAGAGATTTGTTAAATTGTGCAACTGTTCAGATTCTGACAAAGTTCTCCTACTGTGGCCCAGCACCAGCCTTAACCATACTTTTAGTCTAGCAGCCATGAGGCTGAAGTTTCTGCTCCACTACCACCATACAAGTCAGACTTTCTGGACATCAGTAGCCACCCAGTCAACCACCTCTCTCCCTAAATGTAGGCATCTGACTGTCAGAGCCTACATGCAGACTTCTACATTTATACCTGCTAATTTTCACCCTGTGGGTTTGCAGCCAGCAATGTTGCGACCATCCAAATCCTGATTCAATGGGCTCACTGATTCCCAGTTATGGGTTATACATGTGATTCTGGCACTGCTGCCTTCTGTTTCCACTCAAGTTTTCAATAAAGGTATCAAGTAGGATGAGGCCCTTGACTAGGACATCCCTAGAGTTAGTCAACTGATTCATAAACACTCTTTGAAAAGGTTTTGAGACAGCTTCGAATAACGATTCAGGAAGAAAAAGTCAAGCAAACGTAAGCCCAGTTTAACAGGTTACCTACATGGCAGAAAGTCACAGTGGGGGCAAACAGCTGTGGGTTGAGGCAAGCACTGAGCTTAGAACAGAGGGGAAGGGCTTCTAAATTGGGCTTCCCTTCTCTGATTGACTTCCAATCAGGGAGGCTCATGGGAAGCATAACATTTCCCTAAGTTCACACTGAACAAGAGCCATAATCTGGTGACACAGAGCGTACTACTTGGTCAGAAAGAAGTAGCTAAGAAAATAGGAAGGAGGAAACCTCTATTTTAAAGATGAGATCAAGAATTCCAAAAAAATTAAGAGGAAACAGCAAAACTGACATACCCGCACTTTACAGGCATTTGCTCAATTATTTACTGCATGAGCAAAGAGCCATTTTGTTGGGGATGGCTTGATGCTAACAGTAAGAAGTTCAGCATCCAACTGCACTCAAGGACTGTGGGTGGTAAAAAAACCAAGAAGCTGAGGATGGATATCGACTTATGAGACCCAAAGCTGTACTTAGGTGTTTTGTTTTTTGGCAAAAGTATAGTCCAGGAGCAACGCGTGGAAGAAAAAAAGAAGACAAAAAGTAAATGACTCACTTTTAATAAAATGAGTAGATTGGGGGAAAAAAAACCCACACCCCACCACCATGGTCGTAAAGTCCCATTACTTTTTCTGTGCGTCAGGCATCAGGAATGTGCACATAAGGAAATGAGTAGACTAAGGAGCTGTCTCCTGAGCGATGTCCTGTCAAGCGAAGCGCAGTGTTCATCATAATTCTACAGTTACACAAATTCACACGTGAGGAGAAACAAGAAATCTGAGCCTGGGATTGATATCCTTCCTAAATTTCATGATTAGACTAGCCAGCAAGGTAACAGATATACAAATAATCAGAAATCACAGGTGGTGCATACACCTACACGTGTCTACTATGTGTGATGCCTATCTATTGCTCCCAGTGACAAGTATGGTAAAGATATAACCACAGTACATCCGTGCATTTAAAACCCTAAGGAAACCAACACATCTAGAGAAATCTACTTACAGATTCAGTTTCGCTGACTAGAAACTGATGAAACTTTTCCAACTGTGGAGATTTTCTTAAGATTTTTCGACTTAAATTTGTGTGCCAGGCAAGTTCTTCAGGATACCTGACCAAAAAGAAAGCAACACATTTACAGACTGCATATGCCACCGTGCTCTCTTGACAGCCTCAAGCTTACAACACAGGTCCTATGCCAGCGAGACATTCCATTTTGTTCTTGCTCATATTCACAACCTCTCAAGTACAGACAGCTACACTCAGTGATGCGCCTGGGGCACATGGAACATGGTCTAGCTCATCGTGGCTGGGTCAGAAACAGGAGAGCCACAGGGGTTTAAAATAGACAATGATGAAATGTCTGAGATCAGATAAAAAAAGGGAGACTCCCCTGCTCTTCACTACTGTAAGTTAACAATGGTACAGAGATCATCAGACAAAAAGTCACACAGAATAAAAACCATGCAGTGGGACAAGTGTTGAAGTGTTGGACAAACATCTGACTAGAGTTTAAAAAAACAGATGTTTCATTTGTGTTTGCTAAAACAAACCAGTTCAATAATGTACTAAGATGTTTTACATACCCCAAAAACTCACCTTAGAAACCACTAACGCACGATTTGATCGCCTAGGTTAACTGCTACTTACACACACCTAAGAATGAAAAGCACCTCCTGACAATTCTGTGAATGCACTTGAAGTGTCTATAAATAATGACATCATTGATTGGGAAAGATGCATTTTTAGATTTGGCCTGCGCCAGCCCACTAATCTGTAACTGCACGAGTGAGTACTCTGATGAGACACATAGCACCATGCTCAATTACTCCAGTGCCAAGCTAAGCATAACATGTCACATGGCCATAAACCTTACTGCAGTTTCAGCACTTATTAAGTCTGCAGTGTAGTAACAAGCTCCATTTTGTAATGCAGGGTCACAACTTTCCATGCACTGAATTGTAGCTAGGGGGAAAACTGTGAAAATGAAATTGGAACGTTTGGAAAACACACATACATTGGACCGCTTTGAAACTTTAAGTGATTACTGGACAGAAATAAACTCATGCCTTAAGAGTCTGAAACACTGCTCAAAGGCCATCATATTATAAGATACATTTGAAAAGCACTTTTTACCAAATAATGAAGACGAAACTGGCTGAATCCGCTCATGGCCACCCTGCAAAGTCACCAGTGTTTTGTTCTATTTTCTATGCCTGTTCCTTCTTCAATGTTTAACATGTTTCAAAAACATATAGCCAAAATAAAATCATATTTAATAGTTTAGTTTTAAATACTCTTTTGACCTCACTAGAGGTGCACAAGTAGTAGTAGGCTTTCACTCTACCTGCCGCGCAAATTACACTCTCATTTAATTTCTGGCAACCGTGAACTTGTGTGTGATCAATGACAATATGGTTGCATAAGTCACCACTTTACCTGATCACCAAAACATTATCAGTATGAATACCAAAGGCCATTTAGATGTGTTGTAAATAGCAGAATCCTCATTTTTAAATATAGATAATAAGCGTTTTCAAACACAGATACAACTTGACCTCCCTACTACGCACCTCCCAACTGACTTCCTGTTAACCCCAGTTCTGGGAAGGCCTCTAAGATTGCCTGTTGCTCTACTGTTCCTTGCATAAGGGCAGGTACTTACCATAAATCCTGCCCTTGGGTCAAACACCTCTTCCTGCACATCCCTTCTGAGTCAGCCCTTCCCTATGGCATATAAACCCTGGGTCTGGGAGTAATGGCACAGATCTCAATTCACTGGTGCCTGAGACACAAACCCAGCTTCTGTTGGTAGTCCCTGTTAAATGATTCTAGGAAACTGGATCTGTCAGCCTCTTTCTTCCACCGCTCAGCTTCCTTGGACTTTTGAGGTAGATCTGCACAGACCTGCCAACCATGAAACAGTGCCCCTCACAGGCTGAAGTTCTAATAGTTAAAAAGTAAATTTACTATAAGATTAAAACTCTACTATATTTGTAACTATGAAAATTGTTTATCTTATTAAAAAAACTTAAGAACTTTCAAATAGTTAAATAAAAGGACTAACAGTAAAAATGAATAAAAAGTATGTTACTGATACAGCTTTAAGAACATCTTCATTTTTGAGCCAAGTGTTTATTAAAATCTGCAGATTTTAACACCAAACACAATAATCTTGAAGAACAGTATTTAATTTGTAGTTATTTAATTCAAATTTAACTCATCAGTCTTTTAAGAAAAAGTCCTACTGAACTTTTCTGAGGATAAATTAAAAGAACCACTGTCATTTTTGCATACCAAAAATTCTCCAGGGATTAAAAACTGCAAATATACACACTATGATAATCAAGACATTAAAAAGCACATGTACAGAATGACATTAAGGTGTGTTCTGAACCATGGATTGTCAAAAATAGGCTTTTATAAGAATGTTTTAGGATAATTCTTTATTGTTCTGAGTCTATGAAAAGTAGGAAAGTACAACTGGCCCAAGCTATAGTCCTATACGTAACATTCTTTCTAGAAAATGTAGTTCCAAAACACACTTTCCTAAATTATATTAAACTGTGTACCAAATGATTAACAAGAATATTACATGTTTTAGTTCTACGTGTTGAACAATACAGAAAACCGCCAGAAGTCCTGGGAAGTTTCCACTTTACTTGCTTGCTGAGATTTACTATTCCACAATTGACAAGCAAATTTGAATGAATGTTTATAGAGTATTAAGAAACTATCATTGATAACAGAAAATTCAAGTATTAGGAACTCAAATCACAATGTTTTTGGTCATCTCTTCAGCTGTGTGTTCAGAAAACCATATTAAAAAATAACTAAGAGTTGCTGGCTCCTGGCAAGAGAGCAATTCACTTTCATTCTTCAACCAGACAACCTGAAGGTCCTTTCTAAGAGTCTAGCAGTTGCGTTGTCATGTACCCAACACATACATGATGGTCAAGAAACAAGACAGGAAAACAGCTGCCAAATGTGAAAACAACTGAGCAAATACAAGTTTAACAGGCAATAAAAAATATCAAATTAATACCCCCGTGGTTTCTCATGGTTTGTCAGAAGATACAGAAGAAAATGGCCTCAGTGAGGTGCCGTGTGAGCACACCTCTTCCCTGCAGATGCCAGCTGACACGCTCTTCACATGGTGAGACCAGAGGGGAGACTTTCTCACCTCCTCTTAGCTCATTACTGCACCGCTAGACACAGAGTTTCAGGAACAAACGTATCCTGATGATTGTGTGATGCAGCAAATACATGCCAAACTATTAACAACAGAAATGTCCCTAAGGACAAGCATAAACCTGTGTTTTGAAAGTATCAGCCTCTACTCCAATGAGTGCCCTAAGATCAGTACCACCAACCAAGCCTTCAAAGCAATCCTTGAGAAGATCCCATAACCTAGTGACTATGAGGGAGAGAAGTTTGATCCGCAAAGGCCACCTCAATTCAGCCATGTCATAACCAGACGTAGAAAAACATCTTCTTCCATAGACTTCACTACAGTGGACACACAATTAGTGACCACCACCAAAAACTCAGCACTTGAATTATCTTCTTGCACTTTACCCTTCAAGCTTTCAAAATCTGACTAAGAATGCATTATTTAAAAAAAAATTCAAGCCGGTCTTGGTGGCTCAGCCTGTAATCCCGGGCCTTGGGAGGCTGAGGTGAGTGGATTGCCTGAGCCCGCGGTTTCGAGACCCGCCTGGGTAACTTGGTGAGACCTCATCTCTACAATAAATCAAAAACTAGCCGGGCGTGGTAGCGTGCACCTGTAGTTCCAGCTACTTGGAAGGCTGAGGCAGAAGGATCGCCGGAGCCCAGCAGGTCGAGGCTGTGGTGGCCAGGAATGGCCATTGCACTCCATTCTGGGCAAAAGAGTGAGACTCCAACTTAAAAAAAAAAAAAATTCAGTTTCATAAAACTGCAGATTTACTCTTGTACCCAAGAAACACATTCCCTGATGGTGACATTTGGCTTTGATCTTGGCTGCATACTGATTTAGTATTTGGCCAGTCAGCACTCATTCTAAATGTAAAAGCTGTGCATGCCTGTGATTTAGACACTGAAAATCCAAGTGACAAATGAAAGAAAAGCACGCAAATCTGTACCCCATGATTAATGAAAACCTGACCCTGGTTTGCGATCACTAAAGGATATCTAAAAAGGAAAGACAACATCAGGCACTTGAACAGTGAAAACCTCAGAGGTTGAAAGAAAATGTCTAATTCAGCTTTTTAACAGCATAACTTAAGATAGCTGTTTTTCTTCTCTGCAAACTCAATACCTCAATGTTAATAATCTGAAGCATGAAACTGTAACAGTTTGCAGTAATGACTTCTCCATTTATGGCTTAAACCAGAGGACTTCAGGCATTTTACTAGACAGCCTGTGTTATCGGCACATGGGATCACCTTCACACAACTGAGACTTGAACTGGGCATGTAACCTAAGCGGACACCTCCAGGAGCGATAAAGAAAGGGCTGGCACATGGAGCAGCAGTCTGCTTGGGTGCTGAGACAAGACAGTGAGATGACTGCATTGGCCAGCACAGTCTGTGCTGGGAAACGCCAGTAGATAATAGACTGTAGTGACCCCTGTCAGGTGAGGTCTGTCTTTTCTCTGAAGGTAGAGAAGCCACCCTGCAACAGTTTTGATCTGAGAAGGCAAGGGCTATAACACAGAGATGGTAGAGGTGGTAAAAGAAAGGAAGGAGAGAGGCTGGATCTGCTAGGAAGAGTCAAATGAACTCCAACTCAAATAAGAGAGCTACAGACCCTACTTGTTTGTGAAAGCTTGCATGCCAACGTAATGTCAATGAAAGCACTGGGTAAAAGAACATTAGTATGTCTGGAAAGTATGTTCAAGTTCTTCCATGTTAACATCTAATGCAGTACAAAGAAATATGTTCAAGTGACAGACTATATCCTAAAGAAATATCCAACATGATGAAGCATCGTGGCACCTACCAACTCAGTGGCTGTGGAACTTCAACTTTCTGACCATCCACTTCCAGGTTCTCCAATTCCTTGAAATACTTGTTCCTTAAGCAATGGAGAATCTCTTTTGCATGGCTATAGAAAAATAAGAAAGTTTCAAGCTGATCTAACAAGTATATTTAATACATTGTATCTTTCTTATTTAATACTGTGTCTTAAAACTAAAACATACTTTGCATGGAGAAAAGATGGTCTTCAGTTACTGTCTTTTCGTTGTATTCCTTCAAAACTTAAACAACCCTCACTGTTTGATCCCTAAGAACAATACTATACTCCTTCCCTCCTAAACATACCTACAGGATTTTCCCTTTGCAACTCATCTCGGAAAGCTTTAACCACAAAGACTGAAGAAAAGACCTAGAGATCTGATGCACATTTGATGTCATAAATTTTCCTACGTTCCAAAAGGCAGCGCGTGCTCTGATCATCAACTCCCCAGGGCCACACCTTTCCCAGACGGCATTTTCAGGTCTCAGCCTAGCCTTCCACCTGCCCCAACTCCTTGACCCACTCCACTGAATCTAAGTGCTCCCTCCTCAGTGCTTCCTGAACCCACACGGTTGAAATGCATCGGTTCTCCGGCCCTACAACACCTGTGGATGAAAACACCCTCGCTTGCCACCTCGAGTAACCTAGCCCCAATGCGAGGAGAGAAAGGCACGGCCCCCCTACCTTTTGAAGCCAGTAATTCTTAAAGTGGCCGGGAGAGGCTCCCGGAGCGCCTCCATAAACTGCTCCCACTCGCCCTCAGGGACGATCTTGAGCTCCTGGTAGTAGTGCTCGAACAGCTTGTTCTCCTTGATGATCTCGGGGTACCCGCCTTCCCAGCCCTGAGGAAGAAAAGACACGTCTACCCTGCAGCCCGAGGAGCCGCCCCGCGGGCCTCAGAGTCCCGGAGGCCCCGCGAGGTCCCTGGGTCACCCCCGCCCGCCCGGAACCCGGCTCCTACCGCCTCGACACGCTTCCCGCCGCCCTCGGCGCCATCCTCCGAGCCCGCGGGCCGCTGCTGCTGCTGCTGGAGCCGCCGGCCCCGCGCCCGCCGCCCCATGGCCCACGCGGCCCCGCACGCTGCGCGCAGACACCTGCCAGCCACGGCCCGGCTGTTCCGGGACTTCCGGCCGAAACGCGAGGCCCCACGTGTCCGCGCCCGGTCCTTTCAGGGGCCTGCCGGGACTGTCAGGAAATATGCCTGACACGCCGCGACCCGTGCTCCCGGAAGATCGCGTGAAAGGGAAAGCCGCGGACTCCTGATGGAGAAAGAGGCTCCAGGGAGCAGCCCCAAAGGCGTCTCCGCGCCAAGCGCCCGGGTTTCCCACGCGGGCTCAGGCAGCTCCGCAGGCAGCTCGAGACTGGCGCCTGCGCAGAGCGGG